AAAAAAATACAAATAATTAAAAATTTTATAAAATTATAATAAAAAAAAGAAAAAAAAACTATATCACAAAAAAAAAAAAAAAAAAAAAAAAAAAAAAAGGAAAAAAAAAGGGAAAAAATTTTACAATAAATTCAGAAATTCAGATTACAATTATGTGATAAATTAATTTACTTGAAAATAATTTAAAGGCTATATAATATATATACATCCAAAATAATAAACCTACACTAATAATAATGAAGTTACTATTGTTTTATAACATTCTAAAAATAAAATCTTCTTAAGTCTCTAAACGAAGATATTTGGTTTTTCCTGACTTACGAGAATCTTAATATTTTACTCCATGCGTAAAATTTGTCTTAGGATTCCGTGAAATACATTTAAAGAGTTGATGACAATATAAATGATTTTCAATATTTTTTTTTCTTAACATTGAATTTTATTCAAATAACCCCACTAGCTCTTTTGTGAATTTGGCAATGTCAAAAGATGCACTAGCAAGTCGTTGCTTAGAAGCCTTATTGCTCATAAAACTTTCACCATCATTTTTTATTGTTTCTCGCATCTCCCCCAATTTGTTAACACCATTCTCCAGATCTTTTAGTATAGGGTCTCCACGTAAACGATAAAGAGCACCAGATGATGATCCAAAAAAGTTTTGACACGTTGAAATAACATTAGCAACGATCGTGGCAATATTGGCGATATTTTCGGAAAGTTCATTAACATACGACCCATTTCGAATAGAACCTAGAAGCGTTTGAATTGCCTGAACTATGGATTCGGTTTGACGTTCCAAGTAGTCCTGCATTTACCAAAAAATTAGTTATATATAATAAAACTTTTTAAAAGTAGAATTTAAAATCGATAATTAACTTACTTTCAACATATCTACGTCGGCAAATGATGCTTCTGCATAACATATAATAACGTTAAATTATTTATTAAACTTAAAACTATCTTAATATCAATAATATGTATTTCTTTTTACCATTCATATTGTTCATTTCGGCCTTTGCCTTTTCGTATTTGCTTTTCCATTCATCAACTGCTTTTGTCAAAGATATGATTTTGGCACTGTCATGTTCCTTTTCTGAAGATAGTTCTTCATTTTTCATCGAAAGTTTTTTGATTTCTTCTAATAAAGACGTTGCCTCTTTTTTCACATCATTGGTAACCTATATTGATTAATCAATAGTATGATATAAATAAGTATGATAAAAACAAAAAATTCAGACAAACCAACTAATTTCACAAAATCTAACCTCTAGTTGCTGTTGACGTTCTTCATTTAATTTAATAACTTCTTTTTCCAATAGCACCAGTTGAGACTTCTGTTGATCATTTATTTTTAATAATTCTTCTAATTGGTTTTCAAGACTACGTATTCGACTGTTTCCATTGGAATTTACACTCTCCTGCGTATTTACAAATTAAATATTAAACAAATATTGTCGATACAACTCTAAGTTATAGAATACTATGTACCGCTAGTTCGGATTCTAGGTCATTTACTCGTTTTTTTAAAGTAGCTATTTGAAATTCGTAATCGGACCTCATCCGTTCTATAGAGTTTTGCTGTAATTTTTATTTTAAAATTATTAAAATATAAATTTATAAACTTAAAAAAAGGAGAATCAACCAAATTACAAACTTTTTTATGACCAATAATATCTCCAAGGTCAGCCATCAAATTGTCAAGTGATTCAAAATTTAATTTTTGGCTATTAACCGTATCCCTAGTTCCTTTACTTGAAGAGCTAGTAACGCTAGCCATGCTCATATAATGATGTCCTATATCGGACACAGAAGACGCAGTGGATTGGGAGCGACTCCTTGGTGCCCTTGAAAGTCCATATTCTGGTGGCATACTGTCCGGTATTGGAATATTACTATGATTACCATTTACGTATGGTTTTGGATTACTTTCAACATTATTGTCAGCAGTTGGTGCACCTGGTCGACTGGTGGGCTTCTGAATTTGATACTCGATTTTTTCCTGCTTCACAGTTCCAGTTTTAGGAATAATTGTAGTTTGTCCAGGTGCTGCTGGTTGATAATTATTAAATTTATTATTTGGTGGATAATACTGTGGTGTAGGCTTTGGGAACTATTTATAATTAATTAAATCAATAATTTTGATCAATTAATTAATTTTATGGATTGATTTTTGAATTTTATTAAATAGAGTAAATAAATAATTCACCCTCATATCTTTTAATTCAGGATGGCGTCTTTCTAGTTCATAATAAATATCAACTGCCAGGTCTTTAAAGCGGGTCGCGGGTAATGTAGCCAACTTTTGTCGCGCTTGATTTCTTTTGGGATGAAATTCATCGCGCACTGGAAGAAATGGTGCTAAAATGCAGATAAATAAATATCATTAGCTTGTCAATTCCTGATTTTCGTATCTTTTAATTACGACTTGTTTTGAAAAGGCCATCATGCAAAACGAAATTATCATTTATTTACCTTCGTTCGAGTTCATTTGTCGACGAGTCAACTCGTCATACACATCCGTGGAAAGCTCATAGAATTGAACTTGCGTTAGTTTATTTAATTTTTCTTTCGCGCCTGCTCTTGCACCATCGGCATTTTCTAAGAATAAAGTTAAATGTATCTTTTACTAATTCATTCATAATATCACAAGTAAATTGACAGAAACCACGAGATATTTTAACCGCAAAACTGTAGCATACCGTTGGCGAGATGTATTTCGAGGAATGATTTTAAGGCTTCGTACTGTGTGGTAGCGACCTCCATTTTTGAAGAATTATGGAATTTATTAAAGAATGTAAAGGCAAAAAAAAAAATTTAATTCAACATGCCAAGGAAAAAAAAATAATAATGAAAAAAAAAAAACAGCTTGAAGGATATTATGTGAAGTTTTATCAGAACAAAGAGCAAGGTTGTTTAACATATTGTGTTAGTCGCGTCACAATAACAAATAACAACCTTTGTCTCATAAAACGGAAATCTTAACCCTGATAAGAAAATGTAGCAATTTACACGTGATTTTTTTTAATTGATAATATTACACAATGAATTTATAATTTATTAACCGATTAGAAGCTTCTTCACTTTGGCTCGAAACCATTTTTGTTGCTCTTATTCGGTAATATGCGGTGTCTGTAACAGCTAAAGGTGCTGGTGAAATTAGGCTAGAGTGGTAAAATAACGTTTATAACTATTAATGAAATTGGTGTCGAATTGGTGAAATTTTTGAATTTGATGAAATTTATTTCATTAGCATACCTAGTACGTACGTACGTACGTACGATAACAGCCCTCGAAGTAAAAATCAAACATTGTTGATCTATTCAATGATAATCTGAATTAAAATAGTTAACCCGAATTTATTTTGTAGTCGACTAAAATCGACTAGTTGACTCTTTTTAGTCGATTTTTACTAATTTAGTCGATTTTATAATTAAGATGCTAACTCCTGAATATTGATTTTATAAAATATGTTCCAACACAAGTTTTAGACATCGTTATTATTAAAGTCAACTTAAACCTGAAATAACATTACGATTTAAACCAGAGAAGACCAGTGATTTATCTTATCGATATTCAACACTTTTTTTGTACGTATATTGTCTTAAACCTGAAATAATATTTCGATAAAACCAGAGTAATTCACATTATATATGCAAGTTTTATCTTACGTATCAATATTTAACGCTTGTTTTGTAAAATGCTTATCTTAATATAGAATAGTGAAAGGTTAATTGGTAAAATAAAAAAAGGTAAATACAAACACAAAAAAGCTATTGCTATGATACTCAGATTTCAATGCATTATTTAATCATAAAATTGGTTAAATCTATAAATATATCGGTAAGTAAAATGGTCATTATTTTCAAATCCTAGATAATACTAATCAACTAGTTCTGGGGTATTAGATACCAAATGGTTTACTATTATAGTGCAGCACTATATGATTGGCCCACTATGTAAGATTTTTTTATAATATATATTTTCAAAATGTTCTAACTCCTGCTCTAGTAAAGCCACTCCAATTCTGTAACATGCAGATGATATCTAAATATATAGTGTGGTTTTAAAACTATGTTAAGACATTTTTCAATTTATTTTACTAATATGGCGAAAATTATAAACTAAAAATTTTAATAGTTATTTAAACGATTAAGTTATAGAGACCTACAAAAATTTACATATTAATATTAAATATGGCAACATAGTTTAAAATCGCAATATTTATACACCCTTTACAAGTTACAGAGCTGAATTTGCTTTACTAGAAAGAAACTTAGAACATTTTAAAATACACGATTTAGTTATTTAAACGATAAGTTGTGAAAACCGGCACAAAAATTACATATTAATATTAAATATGACAATATAGTTTTAAATTGCAATATTTATACACCATTTACAAGTTACTACTGTATAAAGATAGTTATAACATTTTTAAAAATATTCAATTTTTATCTAGCCCAATTAAAAGGATTTTATTGTTTATCGCCATAGCGATGTATTAGTGTGATGTCGGGATTTCAATATGATTAGCAATATGGGTGATTATTTTTGAATGTTATTACGTCATAAATATAAAATTGATCCGGGTTCAAAAATAATTACCCATATAGATTACCTATATATTACTAATCATAATCGGAGGTTGAATATTGAAACCCCGACATCGCGTGATGCGACATTTAAGTTTCGGGGGATTTTGATTTTCGGAATTTTGATTTTCGGGATTTTGATTTGGCTTAGACCCGGGGTGGCGACATATCACTATAGCGATAAATTATAAAGCCCAATTAAGGATAACCAGAATAAATTTTTTTAAAAAAATCTTACTTAGTGGGCCAATCATATAGCGCTACACTATGATAGTAAATCATTTGTATTTAACTAGTTCGGTTTGGATCAAAATCCCGACAAACAAAAACTAATGCTAACCTAATGCGGGCTAACTTGTCGGGATTTTGACTTTGTCAGGACTTTGTTTATCAAGATTTTAGCCTGTAACCAACTAATTCTAAGCGATGAAGCTGAAAGCAGTAAGTCATTATTTTCAAATCCTGACAATACTAATCAACTAGTCGACTTTAGTCAATTATTATATCGACTAACTAAAAGTCGATTTTTTGTGATCGACTACTATGATCTTGATATCATTTATAGTCTTTTATATTATCAATCTACGTAGCCATTCATGCTACAATATTGATATTAAGTTTATTTTGTACTTACTAAATTTGCGATTGTAATTACGTTTATATCTATATTTATTCAATTTAAAATTTGACTCGATGTTCTTAAGAATTTTCTTGAGCACATCAATTTAACTCATTTATTATGAACTCATAAAAATTACCACAATTCAACTTATTTAACTTAAATTTTCTTTTCAAATTTTGTTTAGCATACAATAGGGATGTTAAAGTCCTGATCAGGTCCGACCATGTTAAATCATATAATATCGATATATTTTCTGGACAAAAGCAGACCAAGATACTACGTAATTTGTTATTTACCGTAAAAGTGCATATAGATGATCTCCAATATCATGAATTAGACCCGGATGTAAATCTTTATTGATATACATTGGATCATCCGAACATGTGGAAGTGAATGAAAATAATGTGATCTCTGGGTTACAATAATCTTGATACCGTAGATTCATTGGATTTCACTAATGGTTCGATCCTATTTTTTGACAGGCCACCCGGGTTCTATTAATCCGCATTAGATTATATATGAAGCCAGCTTTTGGGTACACTCTTAGATCCGTTATTTAAATTCTTTGACCAATCCGAATAAAAATATCTAATTTGAATATCTGAATTTGTCTAGATTTAAAGATCAATTCAGATAGGGGATTTGAAAAAATAGTCGAATACTCGCGGATCCAAGTACAATGTGCTTGTGTAATGATGAATTATCATACATTATTCAACCAGATTGCAAAAGTAGGGTGAATGGCACAGAACAAAAAAAAATTTTTATACGTACGTACGTACGTACGTACGTAAATGTTATTCTATTTTTTGTGCAATTTGCCCCAAAACTTAAATGGTCAATAAGCATGCCATTTATCATAGTTCCGAAATATTCCGAGTAGAAAATCAGCAAAGTTCCGAAATATTCCGAAAGGTACAAAACCGCATATATAACCGACCAATCAAAATTATTTATTTTATCACGTGGTTTAATGGCATGCCATCTGGCACTGGGATGTATAACATCGGCCTAATTACAAACATAGTGCAGGTCATAAGTCAGGTCATAAGTGCAGGTCATATAATGATGATCATTAATCAAGATTTTTTATAGTGTAACTGTAGATCAGAAGCTGCAATAACTCTTGAACCAGCAAACCCACACAAATAAAATTATATTTGTCGGGTTCGTTATAATGCGCTCTGT